AGAGATCGATTGATTTTTGGCCAATTACCCCAGCTATTGAACAATGAGATTAATTTGCATGAGTAAATATTTCAATTGACATTGGACTTACCAAAAGCTGATCCAACAATGTGACCAGCACTTCGAACTGGAATCAAATATGAAACTTTGGCAAAATCAGCATTTAAACTGATTTCTAGATCAAGTAAACTTGAACCAAGAAGGGTTGTTGCCGATCCAAGGCAAAAAAAGGTAAAATAGACGAGAAAAGATTTAAATATTCTGTATCTATTGTCACAAATGAAACGAGTGACTTTCATGGTAACTGTCTTGAAGTACCAAAGAGTTTCCTCGACTCATCAAACTGAATAACTTTAAAATACATTGTGACTAGTCAACCAGATTGACTTAATCCTTGTTATCTTTCATGTCAACCTCTAATCGATCTTTATTAACATCGTTTTCCAGTTATCAACCGGTTTTGTAAAAATTTGAATCAAGTGATTAAAAAACACTTGATGTAAACATGTTCATTGTTAGCATGATACTCAAGATGAATGCAATCAATACCACAACAAACCAGTAAACCAGATAAAGTGATCCTCATCAGTAATGGCGGTTCAAGAAAACATATCACTTCAACTTAATGACTTACTAAGAAACTGAAAACCTTACTTGCACTAATAAAATGTTCATTACATTTCAATCATTATACCTGTGAATAATCTGTTCTGTGAAAATGACTATCTTGTGAATATTAAATTAAACCCAAAATTTCTTGCGACCCAATATTGCTAGCCTAAACAGACGAAAATTTTAAAATAAAATTCAGTGTTTACCAACAATGTAAATGCAATACAAAAATGCTCAGTTTGTGTTATTTTGTGCCTTTTCTTGTTATTTCCTAGAAACTCTCGAAAAAAACTGAGTTTGCAAATTTACATTGATTTTCTACCATGAGTTATCTAATGAAATGAAACAGAATTTTCAAATCGAAAACAGTTTTTCGAAATCAGAGTGGAGGCTATTTTCATCCATCGCGCCATTGAAATGTAGTTGTTTTGATTTGGGTTTTTTAGTCTAGTTAAGTCTATCTCAACAAGTGATCAGTAAACTGTTTTTATTTACATATTTGTTAATAGTGTTTAATTTATTAGTGTGCAATTATGATTACATGTATGTCAGTTAACTATTATCTAAATTGTTATTGTTATTTTTATTTTACTAGCAATTATTTTCAAGCTAAGGGTGATTTGTTTTGGGTTTGTTGATTAACCAAATCAGCTTTACTCTACTTGTCTTTATATTCACTTGTCTGTATGATTTTTGGTATTTTGTTTTTAGGTTCAATTTTTGGACTATTTCTTGTTAATTTTGGCCATTTTGTTGGAAGTTAATTTGTGATTATTAAGGTAATTGGCGTTTGTTGTACTCTTACCGTGTTTCATTAGATTAATAATAAAGTTCTCAAGGTTAAGTGGATTCTTTTTGAAGGTTTCATTCTTTTTATCACAAGATAATCATCAATTTCATTTTCTTGTTACCTTTATATTACTTGCTGAAAAGTGAACCATTTAAGTCAAATAAACAAATTGTAGCAGTAAAAGCGATAACCGAAAGTCCAATTTGATTATGGATGACCCAGTTCAAGTCGATTATAAGAGTTAAACCAACAAATTACAGATTTACACTTGAACTTGAAACAATTATTAATAGTAAATGCGATGGATCCAGATTCGGAAAGATCAATACATCAATTAAAGACATTTGATTTGATTTAAATTTGAATATTTCTGAATCGCTCACAAATTATGAGACTAGGAGCGAGGATTTACGACTCCAATTTTTAGCTATTCAAACTCCTGGAATAAGGTTCTTCAACTTAACTATTTCTGTCCATCACTTAATCCTCCAGAAATTGTTCAATCTTTTAAATTCATTGAATTCAACTCACCTATCCTACTCAGGCCTTAACTTTCTTGGCTTAACTCTTTAACTGTCATTCCGCCATTAAAATAGAAAAACTTGATTGAAAAAAGCTCAAAGAGACTTGAATTTTGTTAGCATTGCAGTCTCATCCATAATCTTACAATGTTGAATGTCTATTACAATTTAAAAGTGGATCGTCCATTCGGATAGCCTTAAGTGCTAAAATTAAATGATCTAGATATGACTTTAGTCAATGATCAATCTATTTTGATAATTGATTGCAACCTTTTATGGTAAGATATGACTTCAGTCTTCAGGAAGCTTGCTAATTGTTTCATACATTCAAAAAAAATTCAATGATTGATGATATTTTCGAGTTACTGCAATTTTGATTTCTGTTAGTTTATGCAACTATTTTTGTATTTGTTTCTGCTGTTAAAATTAATCATTGAATCATTGAATCAAAATTTCGCCATATTTGGTTTGCAGATAATTATCAATCTTAAAATGAAACTATACAAACAAATGAAGTACTTTGGTTATGAGAAACAAACAATTGAGCATTTACAAGAGTAAAATACTCAACATCTATGTAATATCAATTTGTATGTGATGTATGGATCTTTTAAACATCAAGATTATGATCCTCAGCAATATTGAAGTATCAAAGCAAATCAAATCATTCACTTTCTTCGCTGATGCTAATGTATTAATCTGGTAAGTCGAGAGTAAATCTTAATTCTTGCAACCATTTCTTCTTGTGTTCAACCTTAGTTGCTTCCAGTTGTCATAATGAATATCCTTAAAGCTTTCTTTGTAATCACTTTGATTGTTTATTTCAATTGTTCACTTTCCAACGGTTTTTCAATTTCAAATTTACCAAATGAAGATTTAATACGACAGTCAAACGACTCCAATTTTAAGATATGGGCTGTTCTCGTTGCTGGATCCAATACATGGTCCAATTATCGACACCAGGCCGATGTTTGCCATGCTTACCAAGTGTTGATCAAACATGGAGTCCACCCTGACAATATAATCACCATGATGTACGATGATATCGCTCATAGTAAATCAAACCCAACTCCTGGTGTAATCATCAACATTCCTGGTGGAGTCAATGTTTACAGCAATATTACCATTGACTATAGACATTCAGATGTCAATAAAAATAACTTTATGAACGTCTTGAAAGGTGATGCTGCATTGAAAGCCAAAGGTAAAAAAGTGTTGGACTCTGGGCCCAATGACCACGTTTTCGTGTATTTCTCTGACCATGGTGGAGCTGGTGTCCTCTGTTTCCCTCGTAATGTTATTACTTCGGCTGAACTTAATTCAACTCTTCAATGGATGAAAGCAAATAATCGGTTTGGCGCTATGACTTTGTACATTGAAGCCTGTGAATCTGGTTCAATGTTTAAAAACATTTTACCCCAAGA